ACGAGAGATATTTGCTGCTGCCAAAAGGGAGTAGCAAATCTACTCTCTGTATACTTGTAGTACGGTAAGTACTTGCGTATTAAATTTCAATTCTGGTTGTTAGCCTACTAGTTGATATCGTTTGCAGCGCTGGTCAGTGAAATTGAAAGAGTAAAAATAGAATATGGAAATCGACGATGTAAGGAAATGTTTACGGCCTTATTTATAAAAAATAACGTAGATTTAGACAGTTGTTTAATGTGACATTTTCATAAAACTTTTGTATTCAAGCAGCTTTTTAAATCTATGTATGTACTTAAATTTTTATGAAAGTATTATTTCTCGTCTCTAATTTTCTATAAAACTATTTGCAGTCATTAACCAACAAATAAGTTGTCAAAAACAATAACTTAAGCAATGCTGCTATACGAAATAAAATTATTAGTGGCAAATCAAAATTTTGAAAAGTGCCGATTTTCACATTCGATAGTTGGACATGGTAGCGACAAGATGTACGAGCATTTTTTTCTTAAGAGCTGCATACTGATTTAAGAAATTTTTTATAGAAGAAAATTTATTTTCCATTTATTGTGCGTAATTTTATATGAATTTTTAGTTTTTCTTGAGAGCCTTTACAAATAAAAAAAATTTCGGAATATGTACATACATATGTACATACATACGCAGCCATATAACTTGATTTCAAGAGAAACGAATTTTCATTTGGCACGTTCAGAAGGCGAAACAGCTCAGTAACTGGTGCGATTGCACCTTCTGAACGCGTTGTTGCGTACTTCTGATCAACTGAATAGTTGCGTGTTAGATGATCGTAATATTTTTCTGATCATTTGAGACAACATGTTGGTGTGTACCTTTGAGAGTTGAATTTGACAGCTAATGTATGAAGTCGTTCAAAAGACGCATAACGATCACTGATTTTTGTTTAGCAACGGTTGCGCTCAACTGCTGCGCCTTCTGAACCTACCTATTGATAACTTTTTTTTTTTGATAACACTGCGACAGCTCAAATTGGTATTGAGTAAACCCAAATGCAAGATAGAGTTTTTGAATTTCATTGAGTTTTTTTAATAAATACTGAAATTAGAGGTGTATGAATGGCGAAAGAAAAACTTCATCCGATTTTTTTTAAATCGAAACTACATTTTGACATATGTACATATGTCCATGCATACATAAATATATTTAATATGAACCCATGGTTTCAATTCTACGCATATCGTCAGGGTTTTCCTCACAACTTGGTTTTGCTGCAGTGAAGCGACAGAACAAGTGACGAGAAAAAATATATGCGGACACTTACATATATATGTATCTATGCACATACGTATCTATGCACATACGTATCTATGCACATATGTATGTATCTATGCACATACGTATCTATGCACATACATACATATGTACTTAGGTATGTATATCAGCATTTTAGTTGAAAGTACGTTTTGCTCGTCGCTCTCTTCATCGCTCCACTACATTCCTGTCCTTAGTTTTATTCAGATACCACAAATGCGCGATCCAGAAAATTCTTCTATCATTCTTGCCACAAATGTATGTTTTCTTCGAAAATACTCAAGTACTACCAGTAGAGTACTCTACTGTCAAATACCTTTTACTCGCAGTAGTTGCGGAAGGCAAAGTAAATACTCTACGCGTCTTGCTATTGATCGGTAGTTTACGTACGCTTGCAGAAACTGGTTTATGCTTACTCACACTTGACCCGAACGATGAGAGTAAAGGAGGGAAAGTATTTGCGCGGCGATCGGATGTCTTGTTAGGCCCTTTAAATGGAATTGCGCAGGAGTTTAGTACATATGGATAAGCACTCTATTTAGTTTGCTCGATCTGTAAACAAAGCGGGAAATGTTTAGTAGCGCTCACATCGTTTTTGGAGTGGGGGGCCCCCCAAACGCCCACCACTGGAGAGGGGACAGTCCCCGCTTTCTAAAAAGGCGTACTCCCCCCTTGGGCTCCTCCACCAGTCCCCTAGGGAACCGTTTGAAAAAGGGGGAAAACGGAATTTTCTTAGGCAAACTGAGCGGTTTGAAGTGGATTATGACCCAACTAACAGAAACAGTGGGATTTTTTAATAAAAGAAATTATGCCAAATTAGTGATTTTGAATAAAGAATAAATAAGTTAAATAAAAATAGAAAAAACAAGTTTTTATTAAAAAAAAATGTTATTTTTAACAAATGTATTTTTGCGTAGAATTCCTTTATGCGCAGGCGGCTTTCGGCCGCACTTAGGGATTATAACCCTCAGGCAGTAGAATTCTCCTTTCTGTGTTGCCAAAGAAAGGGGCTGAACACCTCTTGCAGAGAACACCTTTCTGCGTAGGCGGCCTTGGGCCGCACTTAGCGATTATAACCCTCAGGCAGTAGAATTCTCCTTTCTGTGTTGCCAAAGAAAGGGGCTGAACACCTCTTGCAGAGAACACCTTTCTGCGTAGGCGGCCTTGGGCCGCACTTAGCGATTATAACCCTCAGGCAGTAGAATTCTCCTTTCTGTGTTGCCAAAGAAAGGGGCTGAACACCTCTTGCAGAGAACACCTTTCTGCGTAGGCGGCCTTGGGCCGCACTTAGCGATTATAACCCTCAGGCAGTAGAATTCTCCTTTCTCTGTTGCCAAAGGGCGGCTGAACACCTTTCTGCGTAGGCGGCCTTGGGCCGCACTTAGCGATTATAACCCTCAGGCAGTAGAATTCTCCTTTCTGTTTTGCGAAGAAAAGGAGCTGTACACCTTTGCAGAGAACACCTATGTATATTTTTAATGCTTACTGGGTTATATCCTATATTTTGGAGTTTGACAGCTGAACTCAGCCATTTAATTTGCATATGCAACCAAAATCAGGCGCGTGATTTTGAAGGTGTTTTATATTTAATGAATTGTGATTAATTGGTTAATATTAAAGTCGTAAAGCAAGTTATAACTAATCGAGTAAAGTGTAAAGTGAAGGGGAATACAAAAATATATTTTAGGTGAAGTGGCTAATTTAAGCAGAATAGGAGTGATAAATGTACGCTAATTTCCGAATTTTACAAAAAATGGCATATTTCAAACCCAATTTGTAAATAAATTAGTGACCAAAAATTACAAAAGTGAGTGCTAAAATAATGCATAGACCCTTGAGTATAAGTGTGTGGATTTTTTTTTTTGGATCGGGCCACCCCTTTGGACGGAATTGCCCGAAATAGTTGTGAGCGCTACTAAATCCCACCCAACAGAGCTTCGCAGTGGTGAAAAATATACTATTGTGAACAACCTAAACGAGCGAAATTCACAATAGCGCTATTCTTCATCGAATGAGCGCCATAATACCAAATGAAAATTCGTTGGATCAGCGCTTTCGACCACAGTCGAAGATCGAATGCAACTCATAATAGGGGCCTTAATGAAACACAAAACTACGATACAATTAAAACGTAAATTGGATAAAAATAATCAATTAATTTAATGAAATGATTAATCGCTTCCATCCCTAGGCACTTCGGCGGGGTGTAATAAGGCCTTTTGAAATAAGGTCTTTAAGGCCTTATATCGCAACCAAAGTGAAATAAAGCCTTTATTTTGGCATTTAAAAAAAGTCTTATTTCACATTTAAAATGCAATTAGGTCTTTTTATAATGTGCAATAACACCTTTATTTATTTACGCGAGAACTCATGAGAATTCCAACGAGCAAATAACTGTTATATTCATATATATGTATATTGTACAAGTGCATGCTATGCAACTGAACTAATATTATTCATATCAAGCACGTGTAATGTGGTGGAAGTCTTTAAATTATCAAACAAAGTTAAAAATGCAAAGTAAAGGTGAGTTTTTGGAATATAAAATAATTCCAGGATTTCGAAAAAATAGTAATTTATTACAAACTGTAAATGAGGATCAATTGTATAAATTTAAAAATTCGCAAAATAATATTAAATATTATAACTGTTACCATGTTTGATGTTCAGTCAATGTTGCAGTCGATTTAAACAATGGGATTTATTGCCGAAAAATAAACAAAAATATTCAACATAATCATGTAAATCAAACAGAAACAATAAACAAAATGAGTTTAGTTAATGCGATAAAAGCCAAGTGCGTGAAATATATGACCAGTGTAAAAAAGCAAAAAAAGAAACTGCACGATCATTGGAATTTGGTAAAATGCGAAGACAGCTAATTAATATTAGATCTGAGGTATATCCAAAGGCACCTCGAAACTTTGCAGATGTAATACGCATCTATCAAAAGATTAATATTCAAAAGAACTTTGCATTTTCAAGATTTGATAACGAATTACCAATGTATAGAAATACGATAATTGAAGCCGAGCTTGGGTATTCAATTTTTGCTTCAACTACAATTTGCAATGATATAATGGCAATGTCTGGAAATGAACCACGCAGTTATTTAATTGATGGAAATTTCAATGTAATACCTAGTTCCGATACATTCAAACAATTGTTAATAATACATTTTGCGCACGCTGGCCATGTAAGTGATTTAAAAACCATTTCATCCTTTTACATACTGTTGTTGAGAAGTATATATTTATGCATTACATACGTGCATTCTAAGTATTTGGTAAAATAATATTTGTAATACAATTAATTTTATGTTTTTTGGACATTTCCATTCATTTATGTATTTATGTCCAATAAAAGTTTAAAAGCGTATATCCATGTGTTCCAATACATCCAAACAAATATTTTGGATATGAAGCCCACTTCAGTAACTACGTACTTTGAACAAGCATTGCGAAAAGCATTGGAACATATTTACCCACATGCTCATATGAAAACACGCTGGTTCCATTTCACGCAAGCTGTGAGAGGAAATGCTTCTAAAAGTCCGAACTTTCTTACACAATTAAATAAAAATAATGAAGCCAAACATTGTTTTCGAACATTTTTAGTACTTCCATTATTAAAACCATGCGATATAATAACTGCATTTAACATTCTTGAATGTCAGGTAATTAACGGCGAATTTAATAACCTTTTCGAACAATTCCTTGACTATTTTGAAAGACAATGGATGAAGAAGGTAATCATATTTATTAACCCCTATGTATATACACACAAAAAATACATATATTTATTCTTTTAAATTTTTTAGGAAGGTGCAGAAAAAATATCTGTATATATGGAACCTATAAAAACAACAAGCTCAGCAGAAGCGTTTGATGGGCAAATCTCAAAGAAACTTGAAAAAAATGGAAATTTTTATAAGTTTCTTGATTTTTTATTGGATACAGATTTCATTAAATCGAAAGATTATAAAGTCATTGAATGGAAGCGTTTCAACATATAAAGAACATTCAAATAAGCAAACTAAACGTGAAAAACTTATAAACAGTTTTAGAAAATTAAGAAAATCTAAAAATATGTGTAAACGATTGTATCAAACAGCTAAGCTATAATATGTTGTTTTTAAGTTCAGTTAACTACAATGAAGAATTTACAAGTAATGAAGAAGCAGAAGCAAATAATGGGATAGAGATTCCTACTCACAATACATGCGATAATAATAGCTTCACGTGCGTTATATGCTTTGAAAATCAAAGAAATATTTTATTATTGCCATGCAGTCATTTCAAAGTTTGTAGTGGTTGCTTTCAAAAAATGGAAAATAACCACAAAAGCAATTCCACTCCAATTTTATGCCCAATATGAAGAGCAATTGCACAAGAAGGCAAATTAATTTATGTTTAAATTCAAATTATGTTTCCTTTTTTCTTTGAACATTCGTTAGTTTTTTTTTGTATTACATTTATAAAATTTTTCTGCAATAAAATTAAAATCTTTAAAAGCTGTCTTATGATTTAAAAAGAAAAGAGGTTAATTGTCTACATAGTATAGGGGACAACGGCCAAAAAAGCAGAATTCTCTTTTCTGCAAGCCGGGTTATAATCTTGAATTTATTGCGCTATTAAAAATTGGTATGTAGAAAAACTTTTGACAAGGGAGGTTCGGCGCGAGGCTGGCCGCGAAGGAGAGTAATGGCATGTTCAAGGGTGGATTATTAGCCTTTTTTGGCCGTTGTCCCCTATACCAGGCAATTGCCAAAAAGTGAAATAAAACCTTTAGGACCTTATTTCACGTTTCAAGTGAAGTAAGACCTTATTCTCTTAATAAAGGCTTTATTTCTCAATCGAAAGCGAAATAAGGCCTTAAAGGCCTCTATATCCCTATGTTATTAGGGAAAAGTTCATTGAATAAACCTGAAAATTCAATAGAACTCTTCTGAATTTGACCTCTAGATGACCTTGAGGAATCAAGGGACCCCATATTCGGATTCAGCGACAACAAAAAAACAATATTTTTATTTTTATTGAATAATTTTTTTGTCCTATTTGACCATCAAATGACCTCCAACCTGACATTATGGAGGTTAATGGACCTCGGATTCGGGTTCACCGAGTCTAAAGCCCCATATACATGAATTTTCAAATGACCTCGAGCCCGACGTGATGTGGACTAACAGACCTTGGATTCGCATTCAGCGCGTCGAAAAACATAGGGATATAGAGGTTTGGTTTTTTTTTATGTTAACCTCTGTAATCGACTAATCGTCGTTTATCTTCTGCTACATAGTCGACACTAGCAATAGGGGTGTAAATTCTCTAACTAGAAAACTACTGTTAGACCTATTTTTGTATCAATTGCGATGAATATGTACGAGACACAAGTAGTTATATATCCGGATATTTTTGAATTCTGCCTCTTTGGAAGACATTGTGCGATATATTTTTGATGTTTTATTAACAGACACATCGCACACGATCTTCAAAAGTGCCACAACTCAAAATTTGGTATTTTTGAATTATGCACTGAAAATGAACAGAGAGCTTTTATTCACCTTTCAGGAAAAGCTAGAGCAAATATTCGTTATAATTTGTTGAAAAAATCTACGCTACGAAAAACGAAAAACCCACATGCTGCAACCCTGGCGGAAACATGTGCAGCATGCCAGCTATTAGTTGTTTCTCGAAGAAAGCTGAATGAAGGAAAACAAAGTGGAAAGGAATTAAAAAAACACTCATGAAGGGCATATTTATTGTAAAATTGTTTGAGTTTACATATTTTGAAGGAAACGATGGATTCTATTGCATTTGCAATTATAGCAGCGGAGGAAGAGCGCGCTATGGGAATGATTTCACAAAGATATGCTGAGCTGTCGGGCATAGTAACCATGGGCGCATCTATGTCAGCTTCTGGTTGAATTGTTGAACCACAAGCCAGAACTTCTCCTATGCCTGAAGCTCTGGTTCTCAATCCAGTTAATGCAATAACAGCTTCTTCCCAGCCATTGAAAACATGCACTTTGTTCGGTCTACCACCTGTTGCGCTTGCTCTGCCTTCGGCCGCGCTTAGGGATTATAACCCTTAATAAATATAATTCTCCTTTTTGTTTTGCTGGAGAAGAGGGGCTTCCGTATGTCAAGGGTATAGAACATTTCTTGTGCATATCACTCCGACTACGCCGTCCACAGTATTTTTGCGCACAACCCACGTCGAAATTTGCAAAAAAGTGCATAGTGCAAACCGAGTTTATTAATAAGCTAGTGGTCGGAAATTCGAAACATTTATCTTAAATAAAATTTTAATCCTTTGATTACACGTGTATGTTAAAGTTTTTCGATTCGGGTTATGCGTTTGGACACAACAACCGAAAATCATTGTACAAATAACTAAACAGGACCAAAGTTTCTCGTTAAGGGGCAACAAAGATTGTTTTTTGCTCGTTTATATAAAGCAGTGGATAAAAATATACGTATATGCGAAAGGCAAATTTATCTGTTTAAATGAACACCACTAATATTTCCTGCAAACACACATCGATTTACATATTTTATCTCGCCTCCGACACAGAATTCTTTTCGTACAAAATTACGCAAAAAAGCTTACTCGTTCGTTTTAGGCATGCCGTTGCTACGAATTTCGAAAGTTCGAAAATAGATTCGGATTGCAGCATACTATTTCTACGATTCGTAGCAAAGTCCGAATACGAAAGAGTTGCAGAATAGGGGTGTTAATGACCTTATATCGCAACCAAAGTGAAATAAAGCCTTTATTTTGTCATTTAAAAAAAGTCTTATTTCACATTTAAAATGCAATTAGGTCTTTTTGCAATGTGCAATAACACCTTTATTTATTTACGCGAGAACTCATGAGAATTCCAACGAGCAAATAACTGTTATATTCATATATATGTATATTGTACGAGTGCATGCTATGCAACTGAACTAATATTATTCATATCAAGCACGTGTAATGTGGTGGAAGTCTTTAAATTATCAAACAAAATTAAAAATGCAAAGTAAAGGTGAGTTTTTGGAATATAAAATAATTCCAGGATTTCGAAAAAATAGTAATTTATTATAAACTGTAAATGAGGATCAATTGTATAAATTTAAAAATTCGCAAAATAATATTAAATATTATAACTGTTACCATGTTTGATGTTCAGTCAATGTTGCAGTCGATTTAAACAATGGGATTTATTGCCGAAAAATAAACAAAAATATTCAACATAATCATGTAAATCAAACAGAAACAATAAACAAAATGAATTTAGTTAATGCGATAAAAGCCAAGTGCTCTAATACGATGTCATTGAATAGGTCAACTGTACGTGAAATATATGACCAGTGTAAAAAAGCAAAAAAAGAAACTGCACGATCATTGGAATTTGGTAAAATGCGAAGACAGCTAATTAATATTAGATCTGAGGTATATCCAAAGGCACCTTTGCAGATGTAATACGCATCTATCAAAAGATTAATATTCAAAAGAACTTTGCATTTTCAAGATTTGATAACGAATTACCAATGTATAGAAATACGATAGTTCAAGCCGAGCTTGGGTATTAAATTTTCGCTTCAACTACAATTTGCAATGATATAATGGCAATGTCTGGAAATGAACCACGCAGTTATTTAATTGATGGAAATTTCAATGTAATACCTAGTTCCGATACATTCAAACAATTGTTAATAATACATTTTGCGCACGCTGGCCATGTAAGTGATTTAAAAACCATTTCATCCTTTTACATACTGTTGTTGAGAAGTATATATTTATGCATTACATACGTGCATTCTAAGTATTTGGTAAAATAATATTTGTAATACAATTAATTTTATGTTTTTTGGACATTTCCATTCATTTATGTATTTATGTCCAATAAAAGTTTAAAAGCGTATATCCATGTGTTCCAATACATCCAAACAAATATTTTGGAAATGAAGCCCACTTCAGTAACTACGTACTTTGAACAAGCATTGCGAAAAGCATTGGAACATATTTACCCACATGCTCATATGAAAACACGCTGGTTCCATTTCACGCAAGCTGTGAGAGGAAATGCTTCTAAAAGTCCAAACTTTCTTACGAAATTAAATAAAAATAATGAAGCCAAACATTGTTTTCGAACATTTTTAGTACTTCCATTATTAAAACCATGCGATATAATAACTGCATTTAACATTCTTGAATGTCAGGTAATTAACGGCGAATTTAATAACCTTTTCGAACAATTCCTTGACTATTTTGAAAGACAATGGATGAAGAAGGTAATCATATTTATTAACCCCTATGTATATACACAAAAAAAATACATATATTTATTCTTTTAAATTTTTTAGGAAGGTGCAGAAAAAATATCTGTATATATGAAACCTATAAAAACAACAAGCTCAGCAGAAGCGTTTGATGGGCAAATCTCAAAGAAACTTGAAAAAAATGGAAATTTTTATAAGTTTCTTGATTTTTTATTGGATACAGATTTCATTAAATCGAAAGATTTTAAAGTCATTGAATGGAAGCGTTTCAACATATAAAGAACATTCAAATAAGCAAACTAAACGTGAAAAACTTATAAACAGTTTTAGAAAATTAAGAAAATCTAAAAATATGTGTAAACGATTGTATCAAACAGCTAAGCTATAATATGTTGTTTTTAAGTTCAGTTAACTACAATGAAGAATTTACAAGTAATGAAGAAGCAGAAGCAAATAATGGGATAGAGATTCCTACTCACAATACATGCGATAATAATAGCTTAACGTGCGTTATATGCTTTGAAAATCAAAGAAATATTTTATTATTGCCATGCAGTCATTTCAAAGTTTGTAGTGGTTGCTTTCAAAAAATGGAAAATAACCACAAAAGCAATTCCACTCCAATTTTATGCCCAATATGAAGAGCAATTGCACAAGAAGGCAAATTAATTTATGTTTAAATTCAAATTATGTTTCCTTTTTTCTTTGAACATTCGTTAGTTTTTTTTTGTATTACATTTATAAAATTTTTCTGNAGCTTCTGGTTGAATTGTTGAACCACAAGCCAGAACTTCTCCTATGCCTGAAGCTCTGGTTCTCAATCCAGTTAATGCAATAACAGCTTCTTCCAAGCCATTGAAAACATGCACTTTGTTCGGTCTACCACCTGTTGCGCTTGCTTCTGCCTTCGGCCGCGCTTAGGGATTATAACCCTTAATAAATATAACTCTCCATTTTGTTTTGCTGGAGAAGAGGGGCTTCCGTATGTCAAGGGTATAGAACATTTCTTGTGCATATCACTCCGACTACGCCGTCCACAGTATTTTTGCGCACAACCCACGTCGAAATTTGCAAAAAAGTGCATAGTGCAAACCGAGTTTATTAATAAGCTAGTGGTCGGAAATTCGAAACATTTATCTTAAATAAAATTTTAATCCTTTGATTACACGTGTATGTTAAAGTTTTTCGATTCGGGTTATGCGTTTGGACACAACAACCGAAAATCATTGTACAAATAACTAAACAGGACCAAAGTTTCTCGTTAAGGGGCAACAAAGATTGTTTTTTGCTCGTTTATATAAAGCAGTGGATAAAAATATACGTATATGCGAAAGGCAAATTTATCTGTTTAAATGAACACCACTAATATTTCCTGCAAACACACATCGATTTACATCTTTTATCTCGCCTCCGACACAGAATTGTTTTCGTACAAAATTACGCAAAAAAGCTTACTCGTTCGTTTTAGGCATGCCGTTGCTACGAATTTCGAAAGTTCGAAAATAGATTCGGATTGCAGCATACTATTTCTACGATTCGTAGCAAAGTCCGAATACGAAAGAGTTGCAGAATAGGGGTGTTAATGACATTGTGTGTCAAACGCTAAAAATAAATAAAGTCGTCACTTTATGATTGTCAACGTCGAAGTCGACGTCGATGTCAGTTTTTTGTCAAAAAATAGCCCTCATCAGTCCAACTCCGGTTTCGCTGACCACAGTAGTTTTGCGAGGAACACCTTTCCGCAAAAATACTGTGGTCAGCGTAGCTAGCGTTGGACTATTTGTTGACCAAAAAATTACATCGACATCGACGTCGAAAACCATAATAAGGCCGAATATTTTTCTTAAGTAAGTGTAGTAAAATATTGGATTGGCTTTTGTAGATAATTTAATCAATATCTAGCGGGCACTTATCTTCCAGCGAATGCCCAACACACTCCAGGGCTGGGCAGTGCTCAGAGTCCCACATACCTGGCCCACATCTTTTACACAAACCACTTAAGGTACAAGGTATTCTTGACAATTGACGATATTGATAAAGTAGACCTCGAGCTTTTCGAAGAATTAACTGGCCATCCATATACATTGCAAGTGAACTAAAATAAAACAACATTTCATCTGCACGTAAGTCTTGAGCAATCACGTCATCGGCGTAAACAGCAATAATAGCCAAACACAGAAACAAATGAAAATGGTCCGTAAGGTAATTTGACCAACAAGCTTCCCACATTCTGACAACCACTGTTTCGGTGAACTCATGTTTAAAGCATAAAATTAACCACCGATGACAAAAAAGCAGCTCCATCGAACTCGAATGACGATTTAAGTGACAATAGAAGCGGGGCAACATGATACGGATAAGCTCCCTTAAATAGTTTAAGTTTCGATCTATATCGGTATCCGTAGGGGCACACACGAAAAAAGAACGTTGTAATAATCCCACAAAGCTCCAAAAAGTCTCCGATTCATTTTGAACTTCGCATAGTACTGGAACCAATAAGTCACTCATTCCCTATAAAATACAAAAAACATTATTTAATAGATAATTACTCATTAAGTAATTACCTGGGAATAGGATGATCCACCGTTATAAAATGCATAATTTAGTAGAATATTCTTCATTATCTCGCGGTGTGGATTATCTTCGCCACAAAAAAATGTGTTTGTGCCATCTATTCTTGCAATATCTTTCTCTACAACACATTGTACAGATTTCCAAAAATGTATTTGTTCCTCTGGCGACATTGAGTATAAACGTTTCCGTGTTATTTCGTCATATTCTTGCTTTCTAATATCAATGAGAACAGCTCGGTCGTCAAAAGTTGATGTAAAGGAATAACATTTTAATATAAAAGGCCATATGGTTTTACGTAAACTTTTTTCCAAGCCTCCAAAAAACACGCACTTGCGAAGAAGTAAGCCATCTTCTATTTGCCCTTTGATATTAAGCAATGTTCCATAAAAAAAATTAGTCGTGATTTTTCTAACGCTTCCTTCATCGGGATGTAATTCACATTTCTTTATCTCTGGGCGACATACCAAGAATTGACGATACGGAAAGTTCAGTTGGTTTTGACCAGGCGTAATTGTGATATTATGCAGAAAGCAGTGCCACTGATGAAGAACCTGCAAACCGAATAAAACTTAACTGCAGTATAAATTTTCTGATATATATAATCCTTACTTATAAATAGTTTAAAGAAAATTCGCGTTTGCAGGATTACAATTTTGATTAATCTAAAAATAAGCCTTTTAACAATCCGGCTACAATCATAGAGCGGACTACTGGCGCACGCCGTACTCCATCTCCCTGACTGGAACCGTTTGAGAAAAAAAACCGGTAAAACAACAGCAACAAGAACAACATCAGCGGAAACAACACACAGAACAGCAACAGCGCGGAGAGCTCTAAGCGCAGGTGCAGCTTTTCATTGAACACAAGCGGGGTACATCTTGCACTATTAGGCAGGGAACCACCTCCAGCGTAAGCAGCTTTTGATTTCTACTTTGTCCAGTCCCTGAGTCACAATGCAGCAGAGAAAACACAGAATCGGATGCATCCAGCAATTTTTCCACCAGCGAGGCTAATTTTGATTACTGCACATTTATGAATACAAGAACCGATTTACGGAAAAATCTGACAGCGTAGACTATTAAACATAATATAATGAACTCGGCTACGGCTATCAGCTATCATTCCCAAGACAGCCGGTTCTACGTACCGGAATGACTCGGGTTTTACNAAAAAAATACATATATTTATTCTTTTAAATTTTTTAGGAAGGTGCAGAAAAAATATCTGTATATATGAAACCTATAAAAACAACAAGCTCAGCAGAAGCGTTTGATGGGCAAATCTCAAAGAAACTTGAAAAAAATGGAAATTTTTATAAGTTTCTTGATTTTTTATTGGATACAGATTTCATTAAATCGAAAGATTTTAAAGTCATTGAATGGAAGCGTTTCAACATATAAAGAACATTCAAATAAGCAAACTAAACGTGAAAAACTTATAAACAGTTTTAGAAAATTAAGAAAATCTAAAAATATGTGTAAACGATTGTATCAAACAGCTAAGCTATAATATGTTGTTTTTAAGTTCAGTTAACTACAATGAAGAATTTACAAGTAATGAAGAAGCAGAAGCAAATAATGGGATAGAGATTCCTACTCACAATACATGCGATAATAATAGCTTAACGTGCGTTATATGCTTTGAAAATCAAAGAAATATTTTATTATTGCCATGCAGTCATTTCAAAGTTTGTAGTGGTTGCTTTCAAAAAATGGAAAATAACCACAAAAGCAATTCCACTCCAATTTTATGCCCAATATGAAGAGCAATTGCACAAGAAGGCAAATTAATTTATGTTTAAATTCAAATTATGTTTCCTTTTTTCTTTGAACATTCGTTAGTTTTTTTTTGTATTACATTTATAAAATTTTTCTGNCCAAAAAACACGCACTTGCGAAGAAGTAAGCCATCTTCTATTTGCCCTTTGATATTAAGCAATGTTCCATAAAAAAAATTAGTCGTGATTTTTCTAACGCTTCCTTCATCGGGATGTAATTCACATTTCTTTATCTCTGGGCGACATACCAAGAATTGACGATACGGAAAGTTCAGTTGGTTTTGACCAGGCGTAATTGTGATATTATGCAGAAAGCAGTGCCACTGATGAAGAACCTGCAAACCGAATAAAACTTAACTGCAGTATAAATTTTCTGATATATATAATCCTTACTTATAAATAGTTTAAAGAAAATTCGCGTTTGCAGGATTACAATTTTGATTAATCTAAAAATAAGCCTTTTAACAATCCGGCTACAATCATAGAGCGGACTACTGGCGCACGCCGTACTCCATCTCCCTGACTGGAACCGTTTGAGAAAAAAAACCGGTAAAACAACAGCAACAAGAACAACATCAGCGGAAACAACACACAGAACAGCAACAGCGCGGAGAGCTCTAAGCGCAGGTGCAGCTTTTCATTGAACACAAGCGGGGTACATCTTGCACTATTAGGCAGGGAACCACCTCCAGCGTAAGCAGCTTTTGATTTCTACTTTGTCCAGTCCCTGAGTCACAATGCAGCAGAGAAAACACAGAATCGGATGCATCCAGCAATTTTTCCACCAGCGAGGCTAATTTTGATTACTGCACATTTATGAATACAAGAACCGATTTACGGAAAAATCTGACAGCGTAGACTATTAAACATAATATAATGAACTCGGCTACGGCTATCAGCTATCATTCCCAAGACAGCCGGTTCTACGTACCGGAATGACTCGGGTTTTACCCGACCAAGGGCTGTTGTTTCGGCGACCTAACCCCGCTTAGATCGGCGATACCCTTCAATACTGGCGAAAGCCAGGTCCGCAGGGTAGTCACTGCCGCAGCGGCTCGCTTCAACCCGTCCGGACGTATCGCGGAAGTCCGCCCAAATTTCCCGGCTGAAGCAGCTGTACTAGCAAATGAGCGTGACCACCTACGCCAGGTCGATCCCGAGGACCATCGGGAGGGACCTTAATTTGGAGATTCGGCAACTGGTAAATCAGCACAAGCGGAAAAAGTGGGAGGAGCACTTGAAGGCGTGTAACCTCACATCTGGTGTGAGTAAGCTCTGGTCAACCGTGAGGTCCTTTTCTAACCCAACGAAGCGTGATGACAAAGTGGAAATCTCATTCGAAGGTCGCAAAAAAAATGCGCAACTTACTTCAGTAGGCAATTCACACTGCATCCTTCGGTAGACAGGGCCAAACGTCGAGTGACCAGGAGGCTGAACACGCTGCCAAAAAACAGTGCACCACTTGTTTTCACCAGCTGTGAAGTGAAGGGGGCTATCGGGAAGGCGAAAGCCTCCAAAGCCAATGGACCTGACGGAATCTGTATGTTGATGCTGAAACATTTGGGGCCTAAGGGAGTAGCTTGCCTAACGGAGGTCCTCAACCTGTCTATGGCCACTCTCATCACTCCTGATGTGTGGAAATCAGGGAGAGTGGTCCCACTGCTGAAACCGGGGAAGCCCGCCAACAAAGGAGACTCTTATCGCCCGATAACGCTCCATACTTCACCTGCCACCTGACCCCAGCGAAGCATCAGTACGGATCCCGTAAAGTGCATAGCACAACAACAGCACTTAACGCCATAAACACCCAAATAACTAAATAGAAACCGCCCCTGTGCGAGAACGGTCCTAGTAGCGCGGACTTGTCAAAGGCGTTTGACACCGTCTGCCATTCCACGCTGCTAGAAGACATCGAGGCCTCCTCACTCCCACAGGGACTGAAGCGATGGTCGGCGAATTATATGAGTGGTCGACAGTCGTCAGTAATCTTCCGAGATTAAACCTCGAAACTAAGAAGAATTAAACAGGGGGTTACACAAGGTGGTGTCCTCTCCCCCTTATTATTTAACTTCTACATCTCGAAGCTTATTCAGCCATCTGAGGGAGTTTCCCTGATCTCATACGCTGACGATTGCTCGATTTTGGCGTCCGGGAATGGAATTGATGACCTCTGCTCAAAAGTAAACGACTATCTCTCTAGCCTTTCTGCCTTCTGATGACGCTTGGACACCACCTACACAGCGAGGCCCAAGTGCTCCCCGTAAGGGAACACAACAAAATGCTTTGTAAGCAATTCCTGGTGGGGTGTCACAGAAGCGAACACTTAAACAGACCTCTGCTTCAGGAGGAGCCTCTGTCCAGGCACGTCAGGGGGCACCTATTCGTATACAAGGACGCAGTTCAGCAATACGTAGACCAACCACTGGACCCGACGACATACAGACGAGCCATCAACGACATCCATAGAGAGTCAGTCACCACTTACCTTGACTCTCGACCTATGAAGGCCGTAATTGGAGCCCAATCACCACCCGTAGATGAGACGGAGCTTCCATNGGAGTCAGTCACCACCTACCTAGACTCTCGACCTATGAATGCTGTAATAGGAGCCCAATCACCACCTGTAGAAGAGACGGAGCTTCAATTGCCAGGAGAGACCCGCGTTACCCTGGCTCAATTACGGTCTGGATACTGTAGCCGCCTCAACAGCTACATGTCCAGACTCGACCCCAATATCCCCAATGAGTGCTCGGCATGTGGAGAATCCCCTCACGACACCAACCACCTCTTCACATGCCAGCTCAATCCGACTCAGCTAACACCCCTTTCCCTCTGGTCCGAACATATTGAAACAGCTCGTTTCCTGGGCTTCCCGTTAGTTGAGCTTGACGAAAATGATTGAACGTTGACCCGAAAAAGGCGGGGCTTAGTAGTGCCGCTACAACAACAACTACAACTCAGCTACGGACGATTTGCTAAAGTTTTTAGAAAAGCATATTTCGGGGCTTCCTGCGTGTGCTCGAGCTTTGAGAAAGACTCCAAAGGATACTCCAAAGGTCGCAATGGGTTCAGGAGAATATGTGCATTATGAAGTTGCTTTAACTGAATTTTTACATCAGACGGACTTTACTGGAAATTGTTTGAACCTTAGCCTCAATATCGACGAACTGCCATTGGCAAAAAGCTCTAATCCCCAGATCTGGCCAATTCTAGTCAACGTGATTGAAACGGATGACATAAGGATTATAGGAGCATTCTGTGGGAATAGCGAATCAACAAATGTTAACGAGTTCCTTAAAAATTTCATTGATGAGCTGTTAGTGTTGTTAGAAAATGGACTTGTTTTTAAAGGAAAACAGTATTCAGTCAATTGCCGGCAGGGGCGCACCCAGGAGTATATTTTGGGCCCAGAAAGCATTTCTCACGCTGGAAAAATGGGTAACAGAGAGAAAATTCGTTCCACTTTTGGATCGTATATGCCTTCTTCTTTGTGCACGAAACAGCCCGGACTTTTTTCCGGGCACAAATGTACAAAAGGGCGATTTGAAATAACAGCCGTTGTGGTTTAAATCCGAAAGCAAATTTTATAAAACACAAAAGTGGATAATACCACAGAATTTGCAGAAAATGTAGTTATTTGGTAATTTTATTTGCCATATAAAATACGTATACGTAAAATTATTGTTTAGAGCCGATTTGTTGATTCCGGGTACGAAATGTGGTTTTTTGCGTTCCTCACGCTCTGGGCACTTTTGACACGTGTTGACACATTTTTGACACTTGTGAGAGAG